CCTGGTTTTTAAACTCCGGAGTTTAAAAACCAGGCGAGAAAACACAACGGTGCTTCATCGGAGGCAGCACTGATGATGTTACCAAGAAGGGTAATGAAACGTCTGCGGAACAACAACGAACCAGCTTGGCGAGCCAACCAACCACAACATCCACAACCCGAGCTACAACTCTACTCCAAAACCTTAAAGGTAATAGAGACAATACAGCAAAATGACATTGTGACCACAATCTGATCAGCCTTGATCTTACTGAATGACCAATCAGGTTTGAAGGGCTGAATGGCATACTCCTCTTTCTTTGTTCACGGATTTCATTGAATAAAGTTTATATCAGTTAACGTGTAGTGTAGATTTGGTTCTTTAGTGTTTATCACTATTAACAACTTGTCTTGTTTTCAGTGGTTCTGGGGAAGTATACAGATGGATGCCAGAGCTGGAGAATCAATGTACTTGTTTGAAGAGGTATACAAAATTTATTTGTACCTATATTATTAAGTTGGAGATGGTTCAGAAAAGATTTAAAAGAATGTTGCCAGGACTGGTGGGTTTGAATTATAAGGATAGGCTGGATAGTTTGGGACTTCTTTCCACTGGCACATGGGAGACTGAAAGGTGGTCTTGGAGGTTTATAAAATCATAAGAGGCATAGAGAAGATGAATAGCAAAGGACTTTTCGTTAGGGTACTGGAGTTCAAAACTAACGGGTGTATTTTTAAGATGAGACGAGAAAAATTTAAAAGGGACCTGAGGAGCAACGTTTTCACATATATGGTGGTTCGTACGTGGAATGAACTGCCAGAAGTGAGAGATGCAGGCAAGTACAGTTACAACATTCGAAAGACACTTGTAAAAGTACATGAATAGGAAGAGTTTAGTGGGATATGAGCCAAATGCGGGCAAACGGAACTAGTTTAGTTTGCAAAACTTAGTTGGCATGGACGAGTCGGACTCAATGTCTCTATACTGATTTGAATTTTTCTAGAGATGTTAGTCTGTAATAAGGCTTTTGTTTTCTAATTACAGTCAGAAAGTCCAACCCTGAAGACATCAGTGTCTTTGCTTTCATTGAACACACCAAATAGCATGCGCAAAAGGCGCCGCTTGCGGGATACGCTGACACAGTTTACAAGAGAGACTGACAGCTTCTCGCCATTCCCTCCACGCAAAAGACCTTCAGCAGAAGCTTCCATTTCATTGGGATCATTGTTGGACATCTCTAACACACCGGACTCCTGTGGAGGTTAGTTGTTTTGTTTTCGTTAATCGAGATATTAAAGCTGTTTTTGAAATAATAGAATTATCTGGCACTGAAGATGGTCATTAATTCATTCCGTGCTGACTATTTCAATGTGCTATTCAATTAGCTTTACTACTGTACTTATTCCTAATAATTCTCAGTCTTTTTTCTTTGTTTATGATTATTTAGCAGATGCCCTTTGGAATGTTGCTGTTGAATTTGGTTTTACCACACTTCCAACATTTTGCAATTATATAGCTCCTTTTTTTAATTGTCACCTTAAATTTACACCCTGACCCTCCTGTCACTGGAAACACTTTTCTCTACTCTGAAGAGCACAATTGTAGAGATATGTCATCTCTCTTCATTCTTGCTATCATTCTGTCTCTTCAATATTCAAGGTTTGATCATTTTTCCTGTGGGTTATTACCCATTGTTGAGCATAGCTTGAGGTCTAACCAGTATCTTATAAAGTTAGCTTAGCACAATTCCTTGCCTTTATAAAATCAAGAATGCTACATACTTTAACAGCGTTTGCACATGGCCTGCTGTCTTCCGAGATTAATCTATATACACCAAGTCTCTGTTCCTGCATTCCCTTCAAAATTATCATTTCACTTATATTGTTTCAGTTTGTTTGTTCTTCCTTTTTAAATTTTTTACACTATTCCCTGCATTAAATTTCATCTATGTATACCTGTTTCAACAATCTGTGACCACCTGCCTGTTCCTTTTCTCCCCATTTCTCAATGCAGTCCCGGGTTTTGTCATCTGTAGACATTGAAATTATGCCCTCTGTACTCAAGTGTAGATTATTATCTCGCTATATCAGAAAAAGAAGTGATTCTAATACAGAAGTTTGGGATTACCATTGTCTATTCCTTTTCCCCGATATCCTCAAGTCTGGAAAAACAATCATTGCTTTCTCAATATCAACAAATTTTGCATCTGTGGTACGACTGATCCTTTTTAAACTAATTTAACTTTGTTTACAAGTGTATTAAAATATACTCTTTTTAAAGTAATTGGACAGTTCATGCTTTATTCCTATCAGACATCCCTATTGTTTCATTAGTTGGATTCTACTAAAGCATGAATCTTATAATTAAGTAAGTTATTAACATTCTGAAATAGCTAATTTTGGAAGGAATAACCTGTCTTATTTAGTTTTTTTTTCTTTCAGAATATGAAATGAACAGGATAGTAAAGAGGCATAGAACAAGTGATAGACAGCAGGGCACATTTGTGCAATGTGGCAAACCGATCCATAACTGCCGAGTTCAGAGATGGCCAAAAAACGGAAAGAAGTCCGGAAAGCTTATTAGTCATACCAACTCAGAAATAGGACAACATGCTAAGTGTCTAGAATTTCTTCAAAAGAAAGAATATGGCCATAATACTTTTAGTTCCCCCATTGGCACTTCAGAGGTAAAATTAGCTTTTGAGCTTGAAGATACACCAGAGGTTAGAGAAAGAGCAAAAAAAGGAGAAACATTTCAAAGGCAAGCTTTTGTAGAATTTCCAGAAATTACTGAGGGATCTGTCTTGTGGAGCAACACTGTGATTGAAATGGATGCTTCTTCCTGCACTACTGAAAAGTTTTATGGTCAGTTAGATGAAGGACTTCTCAAAACTAATGCAGCAGATAATTTAGCAAATTTTTGGAAGACTACTGACTTGTCGCAAGTCATTGAAACTAATTTGACAGAATTTCAGCAGAGTACCTACGCCAAAAATGAAGATGTTGAATCATGTGATCAGGAAGACAGGTTTCCAACTCAAGGCAATTTGGATAAAGATGGAGATTTTGGCTCGTTACAGAAATTTCATATTGGTGCATTTTCCAGTGTGGTTAAAGCACAATTTCTAGAATTAGAGGTGGCACTATCCAATGAGCAAACGCAGCAGAACTTGCAGAAAAATGAGAATGATGAATTTCAACAAAGCAGCATGATTGAAAACCTGCAGGATGTAGAAATGTCTTCAGTCTCTGAATGTTCTGTGGCTCAAAGCTTTACTTTGTGGGATGTCAGTGCACTTTATAGTGAAGGTACCATTGGGATGTTACTAGTAAGAAAACTTCAGCAGTTGTTTCATGTTGTCTTTTGTACAGCAAAAAATTAGGATTATTTAATTCACATTTAAGCCTAAAATGATAAGAAGTGTCCTTCAAAGAATTTGTACTTGACATTTTTAAGTTTGAGCTTTTGTGGCATTTCACCTTTTTGTTAAAAAAGACATTTTTTCCGCCTGCTGAAGGAAGAAATTATATGGCTATTTAGTGCTGTTGCTATTTACTGTTTTGGTTGAAAATTGTTTTTCCATCCTCCAGAGACTCCCAAATCCAGCGTAAAATCTTCAAAATGCTGTGCAGCCATTCCTGCAAAGCAGTCTGCACGGTGGCAAGTTGCAATGGAACTGTACCAGACAGAAAGCAACTATGTTGATATTTTAACTACCATTATTCAGGTGGGGTCATTTATGTCTGTTTTTATTATTTACACTGCAAATACATTTTTTATCTCTCGAGGGGCATGCGCCTCTGTAACTGGCCAGCACTTATTGCCTGTCATTAATTGCCCTTGAGAAGGTGCTGGTAAACTGCAGTCCATGTGCTGTAGGTAGTGCTATTCTATTTACAACTCAGAACCAGAAAAAATAGGTGCCTGTGCACTTCTCCAATTTGAATAGATCTTTACTGTCTCCAAAATTGAGGTATTCTAAAACTCTGCTGCCCCGTTATAACTTGCAGTGGATAATGTTTGCCTATTGCCTCTGCTCACTAACCTAAGTTATCTCCTGGTCAAGTAATACCTTGATTTTTCAATTTGTCATCTTTGTCTTCAACTCACTGTCTGGGTTTGGTCTTCCTGATGTCTGTTATGTAATCTCAAAGATCTCTGCGTTGTTCAGATTCTGACTTTTTGTTTGTTTCATTTTTCTATTGCACCTTAACTAAATCGTGCTAGATCATGGTACTACAGTGTTTCCAGAATGTAATGCAATCAAAACCATATTTTGGACTTTGTGGGTGAAAGAGCGTACAACCTTTGTTTCTTGGCTTCAAACAAGATTGTTTGATAATCATTAGTTTCAGCAGAATGCAAGTAATACCTTGCTAGATGTAGAGTTGGCAGTCACCTTTTTTTTAATGTTATTTTTGTAAATAACCTCCAAAAAGTAACCATTTTGTACAAAGGCAACAGTAACCCCACTCATTGTTCCCTTGAGTGTCAACTGTAGTTCAGTTATAGCATTTCAGCATTGTTGGAAGTGTTGCCATTTGTGATAAGTGTTAAACTGAAGCTCCTTACTCCCACAGATGTGAAAACTCAATAGCACTATTCAAAGACCAGCAAGTGTATTATTTGTTCTTTAACCAACATCACTAAAACAGGTTGACAAATATCACCTTGCTGTGCTCGAATTAGCAACTAAAAGTCAAAAATATTATTAGCTTTGAGGCACTTTGGGTATCCTGAGATTACAAGTGCTATATAAATGCAAACTCTTTGTGAAGTTTGCTTACTTATTTAATTCTGTGTACAAATACTATTACTTACTTTTTATAGCATTGGAATTTGCATTTTTGGCAATTTTGTTTAGCACCGGTATCTGCTTCCATTCAAAGCACATTCCCACTTTGACATCTCAGCTTGTTATCCAGTGGAAAGTTTAAGATGATACAATTGCATATTGAGCCAAAAGTGCCTTTTTGGTTATCCACTCAATGGAGTTTCCAACTTTCCACCAAATAAGTTTGTTTTTCCCCAAAATGGGAACAGGCATTTATAATGGGGAATAGAGAAATGACAACAAAGCTAAAAAGATCACTTTGCCTCTGTTTTCACTGAGGAAGGGAGAAGAAATTTCCTGGAACTGGAGATCCAAGTGTCTTTGGAGAATGGGGAGTCGCGGGGATTAACATTAGTCAGAAAATTGTACTGGAGGTGTTGATGGGGCTGAAATTTGATAAATCCCTTGGACCTAATGGTCTACATTCCTAGGGTGTTGGAGATGGCTACAGAAGTAGTTGATACATAGGTGATTATCTTCCAAAACACACCTCATTCTAGAATGATTCCAGTGAATTGGATGGTGGAAAATATCACCTCATATTTAAGAAGGGAGCAAGAGAAAACAGGAAGCTACAGATCTGTTAGTCTGACATTGGTACTAGAAAAAATGCTATAATTTATTATAAAGGATGGGATAGATAAACACCCTTTATCTTTTTAATGATTTGATTGCACATAGTCAGCACAGAATTATAGATACGAAATTGTTTGACGAACTTCATTTTTTGAAGGTGTTATGAATAAAGTTGGTGAAGAGGAGCTGATGGATGTAATACCCTTGGGGGCTGGTTAGAAAAATTTTAAACCATTTAAAATAGGGGGTAAGGTACTAACATGGATGGATTGATTGACCAACAGGCAGGAAACAGTAGAAATAAATAGGTCACTCTTGCAATGGTAAACTATCTCTAATAGAGTAAGGATCAGTACTTCGTTCCCAGCAGTTCACAGTCTATACATCGATGATTTGGAGTTGGGGACCAAATGTAATATTTATAAATTTGCACATGATACAAAGCTGATTAGAAATGTAGGAAGATGTGAAGCAACTTTGGAAGAATTTGGAAAGGCTGAGTGAATGAAAAAGACATGGCAGATGAAATATCATATTGGGTATAAAAATGAGGCTATCAAGTTTGGTAGGAGAAACGTGGTAAGGGGTTTAAAAGTATGGATGTACAAGGGAACCGAAGCCACTGAAAGCTAGTATGCAGGTGTAGTAAGCTAGTTGGGAGGCTAATGGACACCTTAATTGCAAGAGAATTTGAGCAGAGGAATACTCAAGTTTGGCTTCAATTATATTGGAGCTTGGCTGAATCGCATCTGGAATACTGCAATTTTGCCCCCATTGTCTTGTGGAAAGATATTGCTATTGGCTGAATGTGACGTAGGTTCACCAGACTTGTTCCTGGTGTGGCAGGACTGTCCTATGAAGAGAAATTAGGCAAACTGGACTTGAATTTTCCAACATTTGGAAAAATGAGAGGACCCACAAAATATTTAAAGGAATAGATGGTGGGTGCAGGTACAATGTTTCCCTTGGGGAGTTCAGGACCAGGGACACAATTATTAAAAATAAGGGAATTGCCACTTTGGTCGAGATGAGGAGAAATCATTTTATTCTGAGGATCATGAACCTTTGGAGTTCTGTACTAGGGGGTACTGTGGAGGGTCAGTGCTTAGATTTCTGATTATGAATCTCTACCTTAAACATACCTTGATGTACAAGGCTATTGGGATGTGGGGATGAGTGGTTAAAAGGCACTGAAGTGTTCAATCAGCCATGACCATTTTGAATGGTGGGGCAGGCTTGACTCATTGGCCTACTGCTGTTGCCATGTTCCTTAAACATCATATATTCCAAGTGTCCTTGAATACAAAACTTTTCGGCACTGGTTCTTGAAGGAACATTGACTAATCAATGTGTTCTAATTAAAGCACAGCTTTCAGATTAGCTTACTTTTCCTGGGATGTGGACACTGCTGGCCAGTCCCGTATTTTGTTGTCTATCCCTAATTTCCTTTCAAATGAATGACTCGGTCTTTTCAGAAGGCAGTTAAGAGTGAGCCACATTATTGTAGGTCTGGAGTCTCACGTAGGCGAGATCAGGTAGAGATCACTGATTTTTCTTGTGTGTAGGTGAGCCAGGTGGGTTTTCACAACAATCAATGATGGTTGTCGTGATAGCCATTACTGAGGCAACTGTTACATTGCAGATAATTTTATTTACTGAATTTTACCTGTATCATCTGCAATGGTGGGATTTTTAACCTGAGATCCTAGGTTTATGGATTATTCCAGACCTCGGGCATTACCACTAGATGATCATTTCCCCAATTTAGGATAGATGCCTGTAGTAAAGGGCACTGACTGATGTTCTCTCATATTAATATGAGAGTTTTTAATCGTGGTTTGCAAGTAAAGTGAAGTAATCCAAATAATTTTCGAAAAGGATGCACTTTAATTGTAAGTTTCTATTCCTTCTGCTTGTAAATATACCATGAATTTATCAAATTGTGTGCAGATAATACTTCAGTTTCTTGTCCTTTGTTAGCTATTTAAGGTTCCTTTGGAACAAGAGGGTCAACTTGGAGGTCCTATTCTTGCACAAGAAGAAATAAAAACAATATTTGGCAGTATTCCAGATATTTTGGATGTACACACAAAAATTAAGGTAAGTAAAATTTCTGTACAGAAAATACTGAGATTGTACGCAGATAGTCATGAATTGCAATTCATATTAAAATACTCTTGGGTATCAATTCCCAGGGCATGAGGAAGACTTTGAAAATTAATTAACTCACATACCCTATAAATATTAAGTAATTTTTTTCAATATTGTTAATCAACCTGTTGGGAACATTATGACATGCCTCTGGGGCAGGTGGGTTTTCAATTCTACCACTCTGCCACCAAAGCCTTACAAGTCATTTTTATCTTGACACTTATTAGAACAACTTTAAACATGTATATTGTTAAATAAAGAGTTAAGAGAAACTCAGCGTGTCTTGCAGCATCTGCATGAATAGAGATGGATTTGACTCCTTCTGATCTGCATGTTGAATAAAGATGTCATTTTTTCAACTTAAGCTGGAGGTTGTTCAGTCTTTAGAAAACTCTTGTCCTTGTTTCTAGAGTCCCTGGACTCTTGCCTCAAAGCCCATTTTTATAATCAAGTGAATTACTTGGGCCTTGTATCCAACATGACATGTGAATTAGCAATCCTGTGAACTCCCAACTCCATTCTAAAATATAACAGTTTATAAAACATTGATGTCTTTGAGACTTACAAGACTAACAGTTTACCCATAGCCATTATGCATGTTCTCTCCGGTGTCTATAGATGTGAACATCTTGCACCTCCTTCCCAATAAAGCTGTCTGGATCCCTCTTTAACCTTAACTGAGCTACCCAAACCGGTCTCACATTCTTCCATTTTACTCTTAGAAAGACAACCCCAGGATGTAAAAATGTTAAACTTATGTATTCATGATAGATTTCTTTGCCTCTGTTTTCCTGTGGTTTCTTTTTTAAAGCAGCAACCAACTTAAACTATTTTTTCTTTACTGCAGCATGTAATTGTTTAATATCAGAAAGTGGCTACGTAAAGCAGAGGAATTTTCTTGTATAACCCAAACCATAAGCATAAGCTATATGTTATGCATCACCTTAGTCAAAACTGATAATAAAATTCTACTGTTTTGCTTAATTTATCCACGTAGATGTCTGTCACGACAGAGATCCACTTTCTGCAGATCCTTCTGTAATAGTGCAAAATTTGTGCACCTTCAAGGAATCTATCATCTGTAGAATTTCAATTTCTGCTAGTTGCCTGAGATATCCTGTAACCAGTGCCATTGGTCTGCACAGTTCCACCTGTTTCCCCATCTCCCTCTCCCTCTCCCTCTCACTCTCTGAAAAGCATGCACTACCTCCGCCCCTCAAAAAATGCCCTCCATCAGTCACCCCAAACAATGCACTCCCTCCCTTCTTCCAACAAAACACCTTCCTTCTTTCTTTCCACACCCCTGCACGTCTTTCCCACAGCCCCCCATCCATCAGATTCATTCCCCCCACCACCGCAGGTCCTCTCCCCACCGTCCTGCAGTCCCCTCCTTTCCTCCCTCTCACTCAATTCACAGAGCTATGTCGACCTGTCTGTCAGCAATGCAGCACATCCCTTTTTTGAATCGAGAAACTACCTGTACCACGTGATTACAATTGCATTTTTTCTAAAAGACTTTGTCAAGGGTTTTATCAAATTCCCTGACATAATCCTGATCATGATTCCTATATCTGACAATTTTCTCTCTCTATTTGGAATGTTGACGACTTATCAATGTTTGTTTTGGCATGTATGTTCACTTTGTTCTGAAGTATTTAAATCAGCATTTTACAGCACATCTTAATGGCATTTTGTTTTGTTTCATTCTCTAGACTGATCTTGAGGAACTTATTTTGAATTGGTCAGAAAACCACAGTATAGGTGCCATTATACAAAAATATGTAAGTATTTTTAAAGTTTTTTTTTTACTTTTAAAGAGAAAATTCAACCCCTCCCAATCTGGTAATGGCTGCAAATTTCTAATTGAGCTCTTCGTTCTAAGGAATTGAATTTCAGCAGGGGATGCTGCATTTCACCCAGTGACCCTAGTCTAGGGAAGGGGAAAGGTTCATGTTTCTTCTGACCGACTTTCAGTTGTCAGTTGAAAGCAGGATCAGACAAATCCAATGTGGTCAAATTTCATGCTAAAGTCGTTTACGTAATAAGTTCAGTTAAGCTTACAAGTAACCTGTTTACTGATGCTCAGTTTGACTTCTGCCAAGATCACTTAGTTTCAGACCTTGCCACTGCCTCAATCTAAACGTATGCTAAAGATTTGAATGCTAGATGTAAGGAGTGATACCCTTGATGGGAAGGATTCCTGGTAAAACTGATATCTGTGGGAATTGGTATGAGGGAGCTTACCCTGGCTGGTGTCATGTTCAATATAGGGTTAGGTGATTGGCTTCCGAAAAAAGCCATCAAGATAACAAAATAACCGATATCACTGCAGGAGCTCCTGTGTCGGAGCCCAAAAATCTTCAGCTGATTCATAATGACCTTTCTATGCAATGAACTCTGATAATGAAGCAATTGTGTTGCACGCTGTAGATCTTGGATAAAATCAGACTTGAACTAAGTGGCAAATAGCATTCATGCCACACAGCTGCTGAGCAGTCTCCAAGTAAACCCCTTTTCTTCCTTGTCTTGTAATTGCTTAAATCATTGAATCTCCCACAATCAAATTTCCTTGGACCATCATTGACACAAAGTGGACCAGCCCCGTAAATAGTTACAAGAGTTGCATGCAGGGTGGTCCTATAATTAAACAGGAACCGGGACGGTTTAGTATATAGTGAAGCTATAGGCTGTTTTCTTTAAGCCTGTTTTCAAAGTTTGGACTGCTCTTATTGCCACCATTGGACAGTGAATGGTATGGAACTATATTGCTTGTTGAAATACTCAAATTCCTTGCTGATAAATGGTGGTCTGTTACTTGTGACCAGCATCTCCAGAATTCCATGTATTGCAAAAGATGCTCACAACTTTTCAATTGTCTATGCATGACCAAATATTTTGAATAGGCATCCACAATGACTAAAAACATAGAGCCCATAAAAGGGCATTATCAACATGTAACAGAGTCCAGAGTTTACTGGGCCATTTCTAAGAATTGCATATTCTGCTCCGAGGGACTCACCTGATTCTTGAGCTTGTCCTGCATTTACAAGGCACAAGCCAGGAACATGATGAAAATATCTCTGTTTGCCTGGATAAGTTCAATCCTGACGATATTCAGGAAGGTGAATACCATCCAGGGCAGACAGACTACCTGATTGTCAACCCATCCACGATATCAGACTTCACTGACTGGTAGAGGAGTAAATGTGTATAATATCTGCACTAATGGACTGCAGCAACGTGTCAATGGTTCTTCAGCACATTCCAAACCCATGACCTCTACTGCTGTATCAAATTATGGTTCTCACCTCTTCTGATGTCAATATCTGTGGAGTGAAACAGTGAGCCATTCTGCAGATATCCTCTGTACTGCTCCCAAAAGTCTTATTCATTATTGCTGATTTGTAATGAAGTTGTATTTTTTGCTTTCATGAAATAAATCATTGTTAATTAAGAGCCATGCTTTCTTCTGTAAAGATGACAGTCGTGTATCCTCTGCTGTTGGTAATTAGATTGGTCACAGACAAAGGAGGATTGGTGGCAGCGACCTACCTCCAATAACCTTTTACTCTGAACCACATACTGGCACAGGCTACAGATAACATGTCAATAATCTCAATTGGTAATATCACACCTATCACCTTGAATGAGGGCAGAAGGTGAATGGCAACACTGCCACCTGCAAGTTTCCTTCTAATTTACACAGCAACCTTAGAAATATCTCACTGTGTTTCTTCTTCATTGCTGGGTCAAAATCCTAGAATTTCCAACTCAAAGCATTCTTGAGGTGTACACTACATGAACTGCATTGGTTTAAGAAAGTGGCTTACTGCTGTTTTCCTGGGCAACTGGACATTGGCAAGGTTGGTATTTATTGCTTATGATGCCCTCATTTATTTTTCTTATTTTAAGTAAACATTTTTGAACATTCTTGACATCCTGAATTCAATTTACAAGGACAATACCTGGACTGGAAGGTTTGAGTTATCAGGAGAGGTTGGACAGGCTGGGACTTTTTCACTGGAGTGTAGGAGACTGAGGGATATATAAAATCATGACAGGCATAGATAAGGTAGATAGATGACTGCTTTTCTGTTTGGTAGGGGAGTCTAAAACTAAAGGAATAGGTTTAAGGTGAGAGGGGAAAGATACACAAGAGCCCGGGGGGCATTTTTTTAAGAGGGTGGTGAGCCTCTGGAACAGCTGCTAGAGGAAATGAATACAATTTCATCATTTAAGAAACATTTAGACAGGTACATGGATGAGATAGGTATGGAGGAATATGGACCAAATGTAAGTAAATGGGACTAGTTTAAATTGTGAAAACTGGGCAGCATCGGAAAGTTGGGCCAAAGGGCCTGTTTCCATGCTGTAGACCTCTAAATGTTTTCTCTTGGAGCTGCAGTTGGATTTAAAAACTGTTATGATAAACATGGTTAAACTCTGAAGGATTCATTGGTGCAGAAGTTCCTACAGCTGTGTAACACCAAGGAATCCTGAAGTATTTAAGCAGAAGATTTCAAAATGGCCGTTTATTGCAACGACCAAAGTCCTTGTGTGCTCAAAGAACACTTTTTAGTCACCAAATTAAATATTAGCTAAGTTGTTTTACATTTGATGCAATGGATACATATTGAAATTGGTATTTTTTTTTCAGTCAAAGGACTTGGTGAAGACCTATCCTCCATTTGTGAACTTCTTTGAAATGAGCAAAGATACTATTGGGAAGTGTGAAAGGCAGAAACCAAGGTTTCATGCCTTCTTAAAGGTATGGGCTTTATTTGACTATTTGTATACCCTGGTTTCTAATCCTTTCTGTGAAGGGTGCAGATATCTTTCCATCTACCTGGAACCATTGACAGTGAATTCAACTGACTACTTTGTATACATGTCCATACTGAAAGCTGCTTCCAGTAATGTTTTAACTCTGTCTAAAGAAGAGTCACGTGAGACTCGAAACATTAACTCCCTTTCTCTCCACAGATGCTGCCAGACCTGCTGAGATTCTCAGCATTTTCTGTTTTCATTTTAGATTTCCAAAATCCACACTATTTTGTCTGTTTAAGAAGGACGTTAAATGTTTCATCTGGCAAACCTCTTTAAAATAGTTGTGGGGCAAGATGACTAGGATGGAAGGTTTCAGCTAACCATTTTCCTTCATCTGAAAGATGTTTGCCTCCTATCATGTAGAAAGATATCTACCTTTGCATGACAATTGTGCACAACAGCTGTAAAGAACTTGTCACTACAGGACAGTTTATGTAATTTCTTGATGTTAAAATTTTAAATGAGACTTATTTTAGCGTTTTGAAGTTAATTGACAGATCGATCATTTTCTGACGAGAATTTTTTATAAAGTTTTTCTTTTATTCCCCTCATCTTCTCTACAGATTAATCAAGCTAAACCTGAATGTGGTCGCCAGAGCCTGGCTGAATTGCTTATCCGGCCTGTGCAGAGGTTGCCAAGTGTGGCCTTGCTGTTGAACGGTACTGAAAATCTTGGAAATGTTAATGTAGAATGTTTTCACAATGCACAAATTAGTCTGGACAATCCAAACTCTTTCTTTTTACCACAATCTGTATCAAAATCTATTTGTGATTTCAACCAAATCTCTGCTTTCAAAGATTTTGCATATCTGCTGTGAGAAATAATTATGTAGTGTAGTTATTTCAATTCATCTGTTTAGAGCTGTTAAATGACATACCTCTGGAGCAAGTAGGAATTGAACTCGGGCCTCCTGGCTCAGAGATACGGACACCACCCCCGTATTAATCAATGTCTAACTAATTTCTTTATACATTACGTTTGAAAGCTAAGGTTTGAAGCACACATCTTAATTATTAGACCAGACCAGGCAAGATGGCAGACTTCCTTCCCTAAAGGGCATTAGTGAACCAGAGGTTTTTACATCAGTTGAGAGCTGCACGGTTGTTCCACAATTTCTTTCGCTCAAATTTCACCATTTGATTTTGTGGGATTCAAACCTAATGTTCTCAGAACTTAAGTGTGTGGTTCTGGGTCACTAATTACATTACTACTACAACACCTCCCTACTGTTGTGGACAATTGCACTTGGCTACAGGTAAATTGATGAGAATTAAGTTAAAAAGGTTTTGTCGGTTCCCTTGCTTTCTGCAGACCCAGTCTAGTGACAATGCTCTTTACTGACCAAACAAGCCAAGTCCTAGCTTTGTTTTTGAGCCAGTCTTAGTATTGATGCCCTACCTAGATAGCAACTTGTGCCCTTGCCACATTGTAATTTCTTCTAACTGTTGTTAAACTTGAAGTCCTGACTTAATTAACTGAATGAGGGCTGATAATGAATCTCACTTAAAGGTTGGCCTGATACACGATTTCTATATCAGCTTAGCATGATTTGAATGAAACTTTAATTTCATATTTGTAAGTTGCCTTGTGGTTTAACTCCAATCTATCTTTTTGTTTAGACCTTCGCAAGCATACCGATGATGATAATCCTGACAAAGTCAGTTTGGAAAATGCAATTGAGTTGCTAAAAGAAGTAATGACGTAGGTTCTGGTCTTTACTTTTAAACAAATGATGCATTGATAGTTAATTGACCAGGGCAATGTCCTTCATTTTCATACTGCATTATTCAAATGGTGAAATATGTATGTGAGTTGTACCGAATGGGTGGTTTTATGACAAGCTTAGATTTTATTCATTGTTCACATTCCTTACGGTTCTATCATCTATATTGCTTGTTGCTAATTTAGGATGTTTTTATTTGCGCGCTTGCAATCTGTTTCTTGTGTTTTGTGCCCTCAAACACACTTCCTGTTTTTTGCATACTTGTGCTGTCTCTCTTCTTTGCAAATCATGGTTTTTGGACATGGGGACCTTCACTCTCTGGGTTTTAGTTTGCTTCCTCTAATCCCAAAAGTTTAAGTTAAATTTGCCAGTCATGTGGTTTTGAATTTTTTAATTGATTTTTAAAATAGCTGTTGGATGGCTATAAGGAAGTGGTTTTGGTTAAAAATAAAATCGGAAAATTGGGTAAAACCATTTGCAGTAGAGTCTCTACACTTTTAAAAAAATTCTCAATTTGCTCAAAGCTCTTTGGAGTTTTTAAAAATATTCATTTTTTTTCTAATGTAGGCAAATATAGCCGTCAAGTTGTGCCAACGCAGTGTCATCAGAAGTGAGATGAATAAACAGTTGATCTGTTTTGGTGGTACACTGGGAGCACTCTGTCTTGAACTAGTTACTGAATTTGTATCAACACAAATAGACAGATGTGGCCTTGATCATAGATCGTAGAAACCCTACACTGTGGAAACAGGCCCTTCGGCCCAACAAGTCCACACCGAACCTCAGAGCATCCCACCCAGACCCCATCCCCCTGAAACCTACCTAATCTACACATCCCTGAACACTGTGGGCAATTTAGCATGGCCAATCCACCTAGCCCGCACATCTTTGGACTGTGGGAGGAACCAGAGCACCCGGAGGAAACCCACGCAGACGTGGGGAGGATGTGCAAACTCCACACAGACAGTCGCCTGAGGCTGGAATCGAACCCAGGTCCCTGGCACTGTGATGCAGTAGTGCTAACCACTGAGCCACTGTGCTGCCCCACCTGCTTGCTTTAATATTATTCCAAAAAAGCAATGCTAACATTTAAAATTTGGATGCTTCTGACGAGTGTGCCTCCTCTTTAGCGTATCTGATAATTTTGAAGAAAGAATTAGTTAATTGCTGTGTTAAAATGAATTCACAATATTGTACTGTATGGAGTTATAGCTTACTGAAAGGGTACAGTATGGACTAATGGATGTTATTGGGGTGCTCCCTTTAGCTGGAAACTAGCTAATATTTTGGAGTTCATGATGGTAATTGGATTGACTCAAACTAGGAAAGTAAACATATTTTAATCATATTTGGCCTATCATCTCTGCACGAACTCTCTAAATGAGCATTATGACTCTGTGCCAGTTTCCTTCCATTTTCCCATATCCCCCCCGACATTGTCTCTGTTCAGATAATTATCTAATGCTCTCTTGACTCTATTGATTGAACCTGCCTCTATGACACTTCTAGGCATTCCATCTTGAGCCACTTGATTTGTGAAAGGGTTTTTTGTTTCCGCACATTGCATTTTTTCTTCTTTTGCCAGTCACTTCACATCTGTACACTGTCATTCTCAATTCTTTTGAGTGGAAAATTTTTTTTTTCCCTGTCTGCCTTGTGCAACCACTCAAGATTTTTAAAAGATGATAACTTGGCAAATAAAAGATACTAGGGAATAATTTCTCTTTACTGCATACAATATATGAAAAACCCTGCCTGTTTTGATCAGTGTTCTGAAAGCTGAACACAAATGCGCCAAGAATTTTCAGTCTTCCATTCTCGTTACTTTTTAGGCATATCAATGAAGATAAAAGGAAAACTGAAGGTCAACGACAAATCTTTGATGTTGTCTATGAAGTAGATGGTTGTCCTGTAAGTACATAACTGCTTTAATGTAACTACAGGTATGTGCTTTTTGATCTACTGGATGAGATGGAATATCATCGATTGTGCCTCTAATTTTGTATAATTTCCTGCAATTTTCCTTTTGAAACCTGCTGGTGGACTCAGAAGAATTTCATACAGTGTCTAACTATATGGGCAAAGTTTCTGAGTTGTAACTGCAGTTTGTCGGTTGACGGTAGTTGGATGATTCATAATGTGTCACCGACTAATTTCACGATGTTAGTGAACCATTTCACAGTTGCCAATACTGATGTCAATGCTTGAAGTTTGTGCTTTTTTTCGTCTAATTTGTCATTTGATGCTTGTGTGCAAAATGGTCACTTGATGCTTTATGCCTTAAAATGGTAAAAAGTTGTTTTTAATGCAATTTTTTGAAAAAAATAACCTTGTTCATGATATCAAGTACTTTCCTTTTGCCTTTTATATAGGCCAACTTATTGTCATCTCACCGCAGTCTTGTCCAGCGAGTTGAGACCATTGTGTTAGATGATGACTTGTGCGACCGCGGTGAACAGGTCACATTATTCTTATTCAATGACTGCCTGGAGGTAAGAGTACTCGTTTCTTTAGTTCTGAGAAAGGTGTGTAACTGACTAAGTTGAATTCTACTTGCAATAATCATTGCATGGCACAGATACAAACCGGGTTTATGTACATTAGCTTGTAAAATAAATCTTTATATATTCAAAAGAATCTGTGTGACTTGAAAGGACACTAGTGAGTTCCAAAACAATCAATTTGATAATACAACATGAAATTTGTGGCACTTGTGTGGATAAAGACTCTTTGATGTGGCATTCACAGTTTTCTTTTGGAGTATATCATTCTTAAAGATTCAGCAGACTGTCCCTAATGACAAAATTCTCAACTGTTTTGTACTTGAAACATCTGTACGTTTGACCTCCAGTAGTGGAAGATCTTGTAGATTGGAGACAACAATAGTACAAACATGTTATCCACCTTATCTTCAGAATTACTTCCATAAAGTATTGGACTACATTTGGTGCCGGCCCACAAGATAGTCAGACATTCAATACTGGCTAGCTGTCTGAAAATATTGATCATTTGGCATTTGATTCAGTCAAATTCCATGACTCGAATTACAAAATCTACCAAGACTGGGAATGTTTTTGAGAAATTGTGCCCATATGTTAAGTTACACGTTCAAGTTTCTGCTAAGATTTAATGTGCATGATCACATATTCTAAGTCTTCAACAAACCATTGCAGTCATTACAAAATGCAATAGTTTTCTTCCTTCCTATTACCTAATACAATTAATGGATGTAGCTGAAGATGGGTTTACTGACAAGATGTGAGCCTTTCTAATAATGGTATCCATACCTCCATCTGTGAGTGATTTGGTGTTTAAAATTGGTAGAAACTGCTTCTGTCACAATTGTTATGATGCACAAGGAGCCCATTCAACACTCAGTCTCTGAATAAGCATCATGATTTAATGCCATTCTCCTGTCCTTTCCTTTGAACTCTGCATATTATTTCAGTTCAAATAATCATTTGATGCCTTACTGAATGACAGTTGAGCCTGCTTCCACTGCACTTTCACACAATGCATTGCAGACCTGAACCATTTGCTGTGTGAAAAATGCTTTTTCTCACATTGCATTTACTACTTTTGTGGATCACTTCATCTGTGTCCTCTCGTTCCTGATCCTTACAAATAGGGACAGCTTCTCTCTTCTATTCTATCCAGGTCCCTCATGATTTTTAAAATTTTGAATAAATCCTCCTTTGCTGCTGCCTTTCCAAGGGAAACAGTCCCAACTTCTGCAGTATATCTTCTAACTGAAGTTTCTTATTCCTGGAATTATTCTTGAAAACATCTTCCCCACTTCTTTGCAATGCATTCACATCCTTCCTGATGTATGGCACCCAGAACTGTATACAATACTCCAGCTGAGTTTTACCTCGTGTCTTATACAGATTTGGCATAAGATTTATGTTCTTGTAGCCAATGCCACTACTCAGAAGACCTAGGATACCATTTGAATTATTGACGGTTGCCACCTATCAAGCATATACACATCAGCTCTTTGCTGTACATCCTTTAGCATAGTACCTTTAGTTTATATCGTCTGTCCAATGTCTTTCTACCAGAATGCATTCACTTCATACTTCTCTGCTTTGAACTTCATCTGCCTACGTCAGCAACTTGTCTTTGTCCTTTTTTTTTAAGTTCTGCAATGTACTTCTCATAGTTTACAATGCTTCCATGTTTTGTATTTTTTGCAAACATTGAAATTGTTCCCTTGATCCAAAGTCAAGATTATCTAATATATCCAATTGCTATTTAAAGTTTTTGAAGATTTGTAGCTCGGGTTGTGGATGAAGTTGTAGACTTGCTCGCTGAGCTGGTGTGTTTGATTGCAGATGTTTTGTTGCCTTGCTAGGTAACATTGTTTAGTGCTCCTCCAGTGAAGCGTTGGTGTTCTTTCCCACTTGTTATTTATATGCCTTGGTTTACTGGGGTGGTTGGCACCACTTTCATGCAATCAAACACCAGCTTAGCAAGCAAGTCTACAACCCCATATTGCTATCTAAATTCACTCCTCAGTTATTGTCTCTCAAAGATTCTGCACTAGCAAGGTGGTCTGCAATTGCTGAGCTTATCTTCAGGCCTACTTGAGATCCTGTGGTGTACAAATTGGTTTCTTCGTAAATTACATGTTTTTAATCAAAAGTTAAACTCTTCCAGCTAATACGTGTGCACCTACAAAATGGATGCACTTTGGGGGGGGAAGAAAAACTTTCAAGCCAGAACAATTGGCAGGATTTTGCTTTTGGGCATTGCCAGTTTGTGAATTGAATCTTGATTCAACATAAGGTTGCAGAAAGATGGGTGCAGGTGATTTTGGTCATTATTTTATTTGTTTGAAATTGTGCCTTTTTTTTGTGGTTTAACTGATTATCCCTGGCATAAATGAGGAGAAAATCTAGTCATGTTTTTATTAAGTATTATTTTTATGTTTAAAATTTAGAATAATTTGAAGTAATGAACTTTTTTTGTTTCTCTGTAATGGTGAAGATTTTAAGTGCATAGACACAAAACTGTTCAGGTTTATCTTTCAAAACACTAATTGTCTTTTGCAGCCATGAAATCTTACGTGAAAGAACAATTGCTTGCTTTGTCTTATGCACCTGATGTGGCTAAAATTTCATTACAGATTGCAAGAAAGCGCCATAAAGTAATTAGTTCTTTCAAGAGTCCTCATGGTCAAACACGTCCCCCTGCCTCTCTGAAACACATTATGCTAATGCCTCTTTCCCAGATAAAGAGAGTATTGGATATTAAGGAGACTGATGGTTAGTACAAACATTAATGGAGGTTAAGCTTTTAAATGTATTTTGTTTTATTTCTCCTTGCTGCTCTGCAACATGTTGGAAAAATTTTCTTGAAATTATGGGTGGAAATGTTTAAATACTTTGATGTATCCATTTTGCTTGTGGTATGCAAGATGTACCTATTGTTTGTTGCATATTTTTTGTCCTTGGTTATTGGCGACAGGAAAGGAAGCAAGAATTATCATTTATTCCAAGTAATTAGACTGTGCTCATAGAGACAAAGTTATACAGCACTGAAACAGACCCTTTGATCCAACTCATCTATGCTGACCGGGTTTCCCAAACTAAACTAGTCCCATTTGCCACCATTTGGCCAACGTCCTTTGAACTCTTTATTCATTGTCACAACGTTTAAAGACACCCAAGTGCAATAACAAATTCATCAATAGGGATATAAACATACCATAAAAATAACAGATGGTTATGCATAGGACTGTCCCCTTTTCTTGTGAGGAATAACCATCAAAATGTTAGAGTCCTGATCTTATGCTGCAGGATTTAACTACTTCAGGACAATATTACCCAGGAAAATTATCCAAATCTATAAAATATTGCGGTAAACCTGCATCAGTTGACAATACTGAGAGATTATGACAGGCTTGGATTTACATCTGGAAGCCTTTAAAACGTTTTTTATTATAGAAAAGTGAATACTACTTGAGTTTAAGACAACTGCTATTCATATATTCTCAATGACTACAAATAATTTCATATTGATACCATTGTGCATTATAACTGCTGATATTTATTTAAAGGTAGTCTTTTGGGGAATGTCTATTTACTTCATGTTACTAGAGATATTCAGTGTTCACTACAGCTATGCAACACTACATAATGTACACTCTCGTTCAAATTGGGCAACAGCACAGTTAACAGTTTCCATTACTGGAGTGAATTCTTTTGCTTGGTTGTTGTATAGTGCCTTCCATTACCCTCACTTAAGTGGCCAACATTCATGTTTAAGTTAGTGCAAGTTGTCAGGCACCTTGTAAGGAATAATACAGTCGAGTCCAATGTTGTCCTGGCACAATACATTGATGTGATACTAAGGTTCCTTTTGAAATGAGGAGTTGCAATGTCCTAAGTTTTACTGTTGATTTGACAATCCCAGATTAAATTGCTTAAGAATTACTGCCATAGAGGAGACAAGTCAATAAAAAAAAAATTACTCCTTGCTGAGATCTCCTTACATACATTTAGCTTTTTTTAAAACTCTTTGCTTTTAAGTTACTTTCAGAGGAAAATTAGTTTCCAGAAGTGATATTATTAGAAATCGATTGTGCATTAGTACCATGTGCCTGAAGTTGATGGAAAAACAAGGATTTAAAGGGAAAGGTGGCCTCAGACACAATATTCCAGTGTGACTAACTGTCCAGTCACTCAAAAGTAATTGAAATCTGTCTTGTAGTATTTGGCCTTTAAACTGGCCTTAAAGGTACACCCTCAAAGCATGTAAACTTTGATTCATCCTGCAGTATTGAGCTTCTGAATTTTGAACCTGTTCAAAAAGGCAATAGTCAATTACTAGAGCTTCTGTCATCACCGTTCCCAAATGAATGCAGATTCCGTGCATCAGCTCGTGAGGAAGGCAGCGATGTTAACAATCAAACAGTAAGAGTAGAATAGCAAAACGCCAAGGCCCCTGCATCGAGGGGTCGTTAACAACCTGGGGCTGATGTGGGATTATCTTCATTTGTATATGTATCAAAAAAGAATGAAGATTTTCAACAAAAACATCAACACAAGTAGGCCAAAAGCACATAAGACATCAGCTTTATCAGCGAGCACTGATAACTGCAAACATGTCTTTTCAATAGTTATGCGTAATGCATTTACAAACAGAAACAGATTTCAGTATAGATCTTCTGATCAGTTTTCAATATTGACAACAAGCTGCTCAATGTAAATACTAAAATACTGTGATGCAGAATCAAAACATTGGCTTGTTTGTCAACAAAAGATTGTAGCTAATACAGAAGGATCTAGAATATCAATGTAGGTCATGATTAATGAATGCTCTCACCTTTCAAATTTTGCATTTTTAAAACTTTTTGGAACAGGACGAATATACAAATTATAGAAAATTAGGAAACACACCAGAGATAGTGATAGCTATTCAAATAGTAGCAATTGAAAGCCAGATATATAGTGTAATGATACTGTGTCTTTGAGATGTGTTCTGTCCTGTTTTTCTTGCAGAGGGGTGTTGTCACAGTGATGCTGAAATGTATTTAGACAGGCAGTAGTGAACAACTTTGACTTCTCCCTGTGTTTTTTTTTAAAGCAAGACAAATGAATCATGAGTGGGCGGGGTCAGGCTCTCACAGACCCAAAAAAGGACTTTAGTTTTGCTTTCAGTTAGTTGGTAGCTTTTGCTGGCTGCTGGAGCTGAAAGCTTGCGTTTGCTGCTGCTAGAGTGAAGTCCTTGACAGAGGGGATTCCTCTTTTAAAAAAAATCAAAAGGGCAGATTGTTTCTTTGTTTTCTTTCTGCTGGACTGGAGAGAGACAGCACATGAGATTAATAACTGTTGCTAAATTGCCTTTGCCAAGGATGTGTTTATGGGATGCTGCCTATATTAGAACAGTTAATGAATAGTGCCGAAATAATATATTATCTTGTTAAGTATTTCAATAGAGTAAAGTTATGCCAATTATTCTTCTTTATTGTATTTTAACGGTGCTGTAAGAATAAAGTGTACTTTGATTCAAGCTTAGTGGTGGAGCAATCAAATCCTATCTGGAATACAGTGCCTTATAATTTTTTTAAAAGCAAGTTAGGTTGTAGGCTATTTCCACAATGTACTTGACGTGAGGGGTGAATTTGTCTGCTCTATAACACTAGCTATAGGTAATCAGTTTTATACAGTCGGCATATACTAATACAAGTTTAAAACTTTGATCCCCTTTTAAACATCTCCTTATTTTTGCCCTGTCTGTTTGGCATAAGTCATAGGCATGGAAAACTGCAAAGCAGTTCAGTGTCCCCTATTTACAATGTGCTGAGATTCTTATGCTTGTCTGAATGTTGTTTTTCTTTTCCCCTGCAGTCTTTCTTCAGGTGCTTCCACTGGCTTGCAGGAGATATAAGGTGGCTAATTTGCTTATAAAAGGTCTCTGACTTGTCAGTTAAAAGTCATTGCTTACAACTGCTGAAGAAAAGATTGAACTGGTCTTTTTCATGTTTAAAATGAGTTTTCAGTGCAGAGAACAGACAGACACTGAGAACCATTCACGACAGTTGGTTGGCAGGCAAAAGATTTTTGTCATTCGTAACTGGTCACTAGTCCACAGACCAATAAACCTTCTCTTGCTGCCCAGCTCCATCTGTGTACAAAATCCTTCTGCTCCAATTCATCTGCAACTACTTGAACTATTGCTTGTTCAAACGGACTATTCCCCAGTGCTTGCTATAAGTGTTAGGTAACTTGCTTTTCAAAATATGCAGCAGTCTTTTAAAACGTTGGTTTTAAAACAGTTTTTTGTCCCTTTAGTCCATAGTTTTAAGAAGCATAAAAATAAAAATACAGTCTATATATTTATGCTAGGTAAAAATGTTGAATACAGTTTGCTGAAGGCTGACGGATGTTCATGGATACCCATTTTTGAGTTGAGAGATTAGTCCAGTTTTGAGTTGAGATCTGCCCAAATTCTACCCCTATTTTTAGCCAGGTGGTAGTGCCACACAACATAATGGTGGGTATCTGCAATGTGAGGATGGTGACTTGGTCTCCATATAGTGGTCACACTTCCTAAATACTGTCGTGAACAGGCGTAGACGTGGTAAAGCAGGTATTTTCCTCCTGTTGGTTCTCTTGCCACACGTTGCAAGCCATTCAGGACCGAGCTGGCATGATCTCTAATGGTATTATTGAGCCACTGTTTGTGACGGACATTTTATGTTCCTTCCCTGGAGTATAATCTGTGCTTTTACCATCCTTTTGGCCTCTACCAGTTGGTATTCAGCAACTAGGAGGAATAAGCATGATGTCAATATATTAATTAATAGAAATAGTAACATCTAATTAATTTCCTCAGCAAAGTACTGACTCTGGGTAGGGGTGGGGCAGGGGCAGAAATAAGTGAGAAAGAAGGAGACTAATGACTAAGGAAAAATGTCGTGCAGAACAAAATCTTCGAAGATGTGTGGATTATAAGTCTACATAAGTGACAAATAGAGGTTGCCTTGGGGCTGGAGCTGGATGCAGAAAGAAATATTTGCTTTTTTTCCCATGAGCAACTGTGCAAGATGTGAAGGGTCTCCAAGTATAGTGGATCATGTAAAATTGGCATGATGGCTAGAAAAATTTTGGTTCCTTTTGGTCTTGTCAAATTATTGTGTAGATTTCCTGTCTGAGTTTATTAGATGCAGTTAGAATACTGGATAGAATAATCAATTAATGATCACTTTAAGGCCTCTTCATATCACTGCTCTAATTAAGACGATAAAATGTAGGAGTAGAAGTGGACCATTCAACCTATCAAGTTTGCTTTGCCATTCAATGAGATTATGGTTGAACTGATCATCCTCAGTTCCATTTTCCTGATGATTTCTCCCCCAATACCTTTTGATTTCCTTACTGATTGCAAATCTCTCTCAGCCATTGATATACTTATGATCCAGCCGCAACAATACTATGCAAGAAAAGAATTCTACAGATTGACTACCCTCTAAAAAGAAATTTGTGTTCAATCTGTGCTTTAAATGGATAATCCTTCACTCTGTGGGAGAGGCTAGGACTAGAGAGGGTACAATTTGAAAGGGCAAAACCTCTTAGCATCTACTCTGACAAACCCCTAAAGAATCTCGTATGTTTCAACATCGTCTCCATTCTTCTCAACTCCTATGACTGGCCCAATCAACTTATCCTCATAACAGTTATGGAGGTATTTGCTTATCAACTGAGTGAACCTTCTCTGGATTGTCTCTAATGTTGGTATATCTTTCCTTAGCTGGGGAGAC